TAAATCTATATAATCTACACGTTTAACCAATCTGTACAAAACATATTTATAACCTGACGATAAGAAATGTTACACAGCTTGAAGTGAAAAACAGATAAAAAAAGATTATTGTACACAAATATTGAATCAGTGAAAAGTGGCATTTTTGCATCGTAAATGACATTCACTTTGACGAAATTAGACGTAAATTTACCCTTTCATCCCTTAATTTACAAACTAGAAGTGATATTGTAGTTACTCGCCTCATGATCACCTACCATCCCAGTATAGCTTCCTGAGTGAGCTGCCAAAGGGATTACCTAACCAAGTACCAGGATTTAAAAACCACATAAGATATTTACTGTTTCTATAACATTTTGAAAGTAGCTGTTTAAGTTTCGTTATAATTCTTGCAACAATTGAAATAGTGTACTACCGTAGTATGAGCACATAGTAAGGAAGTATGAGCACCTTGATAAATATTACCAACTCTGTGTATTGCATAACATGTTCATTATCGTTGATCCAGCATGTATCAATGCTGGCACCATACACAAGCCTCTGCCTCGCTAGGGCTGTCTCTATATTTCTTCGTAAGTGTCTCTCGGATCTGATGTTATGGGTTCTAGATAGGTATCGTCGGTGTTGGGTTTCTTTAGATCTTGATACGTATGGGGGTCGGTAAGATTCTGGTAGTTTGGGGTATCTGTATTAAGATCTTGGTAGACATGGGTATCAGCATTCGGGTCTTCGTAGGTATTGCGGTCTTGCTTTGAGTCATCAAATACAGGGTTCTTATACTTTGATGAGGTCTCACGTGCATTGTTTGGTGGGGACGCGGCTGGTTCAGTCTCTAAACGTCTTTGCTTGATCCTGGAAGTGAAATTCAATAATAAAAACGCATTAAGTTCCTCCTTCTTTGTAATACCATTGAGATTCAGGTACACACGCACACGCGCACGCGCACGCACACTCACACACACACACGCGGGCACAGACATACGCGCGCACACACACACACACACCCACACGCACACAAAGTTTAGATAGAAGTGAGGTGAGAATGGTCCCTGATGAGCATAACAGCTCACTGCGTATGATTGCGGATGTCCCTTATAACATTTAAAACAAAATCATTATAAACCATTCATTGTATGAATATACTGTATTTTAAGGGCCTTTAGAATAGGATAATCCTGCAATCGCTTTATCAATTATCGTTTTGGCTCCCTTTAGATAAATAAATTCATATCTATATTTGTAAAAATGTTACCATATAGTGGCATGGACTTCACTTTTAATTGTTCTACTGTAGTTGAGTTAACTTACCTTCTACACATCACCAAAGTAATTAGTAGTATTGCGATGAGAACGATGGGTACTATCACACCCCCTATCACAGCACTTAGCGGTTTCCTGGAACCATTATCATCACCTTTAGCACAAACAAAAATCACATACATGTAATTATGCTGTAATGAGCTATACATTTTGTTGGTCCGTTTTACAAAGTTTTTGTTGATTTTATTTATTCATTTATTTATTTATGTCTATTTTAGCGAGCAGTATAGATCATTCAGTTAAAAAAATACTTTACAATGACGCCCTGCTGCAACATACAAATACACGAACCCCCCCCCCCCCCCCCCCAAAAAAAAAAAAAAAAAAAAAAAGAAAAAAAAAGAAAAAAGAAGTCTAACTTTTATAGCCAAAAGCACTGACCTCTGTTTTATCCGGGTGTATATGCATGCCATTAATTTCAAACCATTTAACAATAAGATCATTATCATCTTGTAAATTAATCTTAACTTGAGTAAAATTAACATCATTATTAAATATAAATGTATCATCTGCATAAACATATCTTTTTGAGTGTGAATGCAGATTCAAATTACACGCATCATTAAATAAATAAGCAAACAATGAGAGGGGCGAGGAATGATTTATGCGGTACCCAAGTTTGAACATGTAAATATTCGATATTGCAGCCTTTAACGACAACACAATAATTTATTGCATTTTACCCCGGTCCCCAACATAACAAAATCCTCTGTACGGCCATGCATTATGGCTCAAAGCATGGGCACACAAAATATTTTTTCTGTTGGGGACCGGGGGGGGGGGGAATTCAATGAATTATTGATAATTTATTGCACTTTTTTGTGGGAACTGCCCCCTACCCTTCCCCGCACTGCGTACATTCATGGTACAGTGGCAAAGCAATGGCCTCGTAACAGTGAGGCCCCCATGATCAAAACCGTGTCGACTATATAAGTGCCCTTTTGTGGGCATTAATCCTCAATACTGTCATTTTTTTACTTAAGGGCATTTTCTAGATCTATTAGGAAAAAGTCATTGTCAAAATAATTCCATTAAATGGGGTAAAAAAAAAATATTCCAACTTTATGAGCAACAGTGTAGATTATATTTACTTCCATAAATGACAACTTTTCTTGTCGTTTCATAAAGTTTCACAAAAACTTGTAAACAAAGAAATGTTTTAGAAAAATGTATACATTCCATTTCTCCTTATACTAAACTATACCAAATTAATGCAGACTATTTAACTTTCTCAGCCAATCAAACAGAAATAAGGCGTAATATTAGGATGAATATGTAAACAACGCTGATAAGCTACAAACTTATAAACATATTTATGAAGGTCACAAACTGACTTTAGTTTGACATGTAGCTAGTATATATTTGATAATAAAAATAATACATGAGATTTTTAAGGCGCGTTATTCTCTTGAAATCAAATGCTCAAGGCACACTTGTATGAAAAAGGAAAAATAAATCGCGCAAAAAGCAAACGTATTTGGAACAAAAGAACAGGAGTAATATAAAAAATACGAAAATAAAGGAACAATTAATTAAATGCTGAAAGCATTTTACTTCTACATCCTTTAAAATCCCACATTACCTACGATGTTTTCAAGTATAACATTCAGGGTAGTAAAAGTTTCATTTGTTGCATGCTCTTACCTGAGAGGATGGTCTTTGCATTCACTGATACGGACCAATTACTAAAACCAGCTCCATTGAGAGTTTGGACCTGACAAACATGGAAATAAGAATATGGAGTTGTAGTAATATTGACAATACAAACATCGTCCACACACAAAAGAATTGTTTAAAGCTAGTAAGTCATGGCTGCACTTAATCATGAGATATTCTAGTCCGCGAGAAAATACAATCTACAATCATCATAAGCGTCCTCATACGAAAGTTAATTTTTAGATGCCTTTAAAGCATTCAAATGTAATTCATTTTAATGCAGTATCATGCATGTAATCGGTGATTGCTTGCTACATAAATGGCACAATTAAAAAAAGAGAATCACTTTGTAATTTCATCCCAAAGTATATAGTTTCTCTAAAAGCGCTTATGATAACAGCTCAAACTAAAATGTTCTTAAAGGTAAAGACCAGTATTGGAAACGCCCTAATTTCAAAAAATGAAATGGAAGCTCTTATTACCAATCATGTGAAAGAATATGTTTTGAATATTACATGACGATACAAATTTTGACGGGAAAACGCCTACTAATTGATATATTTGGTAAATTAGTATATCTCTTGCCTGTTGAGAGATACAAATGCACGTGTCGCGCACGTGTGTGTAGTCCCATATACATCTTTCTGTGTACAGTGCTTCTAACTTTATGAAGACTTGGCCAAATTTCTTATAATTTTGATGATTCCAGAACCTTGCAGAACATCTATGCTAGATGATCAACCTTTTCTGATCGATTTCACAACGTTTCTTTCACTATGCAATTGCATGACCACAACTGGTCTTTAGCTTTAATAGGGAAAGCTTGTACTAAAATATGAAGAGAATGAATATTCCCTTAAACGTTGGGTCCTAAGGATTGATGTCGAGACATCTATACCTGAACTGTATAATTGATTTCACTGGCCAGGTCCATCACAGTATGTTCCACATCAAATGCACCAGTCATTACTTCCTCCATCTTATAATTGCCATCACCAGCTAGATCAGTTCGCTTGTAGCGGATGATATATTTCTGGATGTTACCATTGATGTTAGATGGTAGAGGGGTAGACCAGGATAGAGTGAAGGAGCTTGTAGTACTCTGCAGTATAGTCACATTGATAGGAGCAGGCGCGACTGATTAGAAGAAAATGGTTTATAACAATGTCATGCTGAAATATGGTAGACTTATGTATTGATATTCCGGAATATCAATTACTTTTGTTACTCTCGTTTTAATAGATAAGTACAATGTCTAATTCCAGAAGAAAAAAAAATATTTCAATTGCAATTAAAGCGACTGTGTATAAAATTACATTGGGGTTTGAATCACAATGAAAATGTAATGACATAAAGGAAATAGTAATCTAATGCATCAAAGAGTCATGTATATGATTTATATTGTGCAGGCAAAGTAATTTAGTATACAAACACTGCTAAAGATATATTTACAGATTTCATTACTCCCGATATCCTCTGATATCTCACGTGCTGGCCCGTACTCCACTAACATTTAACCCGACGCTGGAATTAAACATACTCAGAAATTGAGTTTAACAAAGAAGTTATACCGAGGTCTGATTCTAACAAACTGTAGTCCTCGAGTTAAGTTTAATGAATTAGCAGTATACGAACCATACAGTTTGCAATTTAGCAGAATGAATGATTCTCTCTCTATCAAGATCAATTAAATTTGTAGATGAAACTGGTAGTAACGAACCAAAAGGAGTATTAACCGAAAAAAAAACCATGTTGGACGAAGGTTGTAACAAAAATATCTACAAGAATATTAACTGTTTCACTTAAAAAGCAAAGCAATAACTCCCTTACCCTCACGAAAAAATACATCCTAAGATTAACACCAACCTTCTTCAAGTGTTTTGCTCATAGTCTCACTGCTTTTGTCACCCTCCTCGTCTTTATTTAATGCAGTCAATTGAATGGTATAGTCCAGATAGGTGTCTAACCCTCTTATCGTGTAGGAGCTAGTGTAGATAGAGTTTGAAGAAGTTGAACCAGGGGGAGCGTAGTAGATCATATAATGGGTCACTCCACTCCTGCATTCTGCTGATTCCGACGGGAGGTGCTGAAACATTAAAAAGCAAATTCATGTTACATGCAGCACAACCACATACAAGAATTTACTTTCACACTAATAAACAAAACTATGAGTCGTTATCTTTTTTTTTTTAATCTACAGTTTTCGCATTAAAGGGAGCTGCTATATGGTCCTGCTAAACAAGATTCTCTTGATTACAAAACATTTTTATATTTGCTTCCTTCTGTAAAATAAAATAAAAACTCAATTTCATAAGCCCAACAGCTCTTACTTGCAACTAGCAAACAAAACAAATTGGTGCTATTTAGATGTTTTATATTTTTTTTTACACAAGATCTATTTAATTTAGTCAACTGTTGAGGTACGTAAAGAAACATTCACAAATAGTTAGTGGCGTGGAGGAGTTCTTATTTGACATATCTTGACGAAAAAATAGGTACAATTAAATCTTAATAAGGTTGTAAGTGTCTTTGCCAGCTTCATATCACATATAACGATGCGGTTCTACCTGAATGTAATAAAAGTATGACTAGTAACAGTTATAAATTTTGTGCTCTGGACGAGTCTTTTCATCCTACTACATTTCACGAAGCGACCAAACCGCTATTCTTAAAACAGTTCATACCTCCCATGTCACCTCTAGCTCTTTAGGGTTGATGGCTGAAACTTGTAGTCCAGTTGGAGAAGCACTGGGTTCTGAAGGTTTAAAGTATACACAAGATACTAAATGGCTTGGACCTATAGTAGATGAATACATCACATGGTCATGCAAGTCATAGTAAAATCATGCACTGCTTCTACAGGTACACTTCATGTAGTTTTAGATTAAAAGTCGAACATGAAACTACCGTTGCGCCAAACACAATGAAGGGTATAATAAACAAATTTTATAGGGAAACGTATGTTTTGCCTTTGTAGAAGAAATTTTTGGTGTCACAATTTAGAAAGATAAAAAGAATTAAAGATAGAATGTATGGAACCTTTAAAATACAAACATTTCTTTGTACAGACTTTACTAAAAAAAAACTAAATAAATCAAACATTTCAATGGAAAGTGCATTCAATCAATGAAAAGTGCATTAATATCCCTAATGTACTTCAAAATGTACAAATCAATTACTAAAACGCAAAAACAATGTACCTGTAACCAAATGTATAACTCCAATACACTCAATTATTTTCTTCTGAGCATAACTTACTTCTACAGAGAGTTATTGTGTCGCTCCTAGGAGACTCGGGTCCTGTTCCACCTGTTCCTTCCCTCACTGCTGCTACACAAAACCTGTAATCTGTGTCGGGTGTCAGGTTACTAACGATGGCTGATGTTGTTAGTTGATCTACTCTCTGATCTGTTACCCAGTCACCATCCTTCTTTACAAAGACATCATATCCTACCAGAGGAGGATCACCTACGTCATCTTCTTCAGACCATTCATTCCATCGAAGACCAACTGTAGTTGACGTGGTGCTCAATATCACTGGTGCTTTCTCAATGACTGGCAGAACTGAACAAAAACAAACAGAGACAGTAATACTTAATATAATAATTTATTAAAATACCATCAAAATCAATGACACGCCTATAATAGAAGTTCTTCCACCAAGTCAATATGTATATAAATTTCACCAAAGTACACAGGAGTACTATACTGACATCTTACAGAGCTGCTACCATATGATGCAGAGAATGTGCATACGTTGTTTGAGCGAGCCTGAATCGGATGACAAGGTTCACAAAACATTGTAAAGCACTTACAGACATCGTAGGTGTATCAAGTGCTACATAAGCCCAGAATATCAAATTTTAAAAATATAAAGTTCATTGATTAATTCACATGTAGGGCTTATGTATGGGTCAATGTACAGATGGCGACTTGCATGTAGAAACAACTTTATCAATATAGGAACATACATTCCATGTTAAAAGGTTACTAAATTACAAATTCATGTTGACTTTTGTTGATCTGTAATTATATAATGTATACATCACATATATTTTGTCTTTTTAATGTAAGTTTATATGTCATATATTTTATATTATTTTTTCTATTACTTTTGTTCTACCTGCTAAGCTCCACCCCTAAAAGAAACCCTCCAAAAACAATCATTTGTGACATCATCATGTCAGTCATTCATCAGTGAGCTAGAGGGACAAAAGACATTGGTATGTCCCTTCCCATCAACTGAACACCTGTTCACAAAAGCATTGCATGTTTTTTATACAATGCTTACTCACACAATTCAATTACATTTTAGGCAGCTGCTATGTCAGAAATACCCAAGCAACACCATGAAAAGAAAGGTTTAAATGGGCTATTATATGAAAACATGCAATGCTAATGTAACAAGTTTCACAGTGGGTGAGGAAATACCACCGTCTATTGTGAACAGGTGGTCAGTTGATGGGAAGGGACATACCAATGTCTTTTGTTCATCTAGCTGACTGATGAATGCCTGGCATAATGATCTCACAAAAGTCATCTACTTTTGGAGGTTTTTTTAGGGGTGGAGCTTAGCACTGAGGTAGAACAAAAGTAATATAAATATATTATAGTATTAATGACTGCTTTGAGAGAAATAGTTGTTTGTTATACGCTCAAGGGAAGGTTACAATTGTGCTATTGCCCGAGGCGTGCCGAGGGCAATAGCACAATTGTAACCTTCCCGAGAGCGTATAAAAACAACTATTTCTCGAATATCAAAGCAGTCATTAATACTTTTATATACCGAAGAGTCAACTAACCAATCAACTGGTAGAACTCTGTAGAAAATAACTCAACTGGTAGAAATCCGTAGAAAATAACTCTATTTGTAGAACTCTGTATAAAATAACTCAACTGGTATAAAATAACTCTATTTGTTAAAAATGTTTACAGTACAATTGTGAAAATGATATGTGGGGGCTTGCACCTGCTGACTAGGAGAAACATGGGCATGGCTACTTGTAGTGATGTTGCATGTGCGTGGGAAGTTCTCTGGGTTATTTGTGATCTCATTGAAAATGTCATTTAGTTCCCGCAGTTCCTGGCTTTCACTACGCTGACCACCAGTAGATGTTGTTGATGACGATGGTACTGATTTCGGATCAACAGCTGCCGCGATACCATGACCTATGTTTGATGACGATGGTACTGATTTCGGATCAACGGCTGCCGCGATAGCATGACTCATGTTTTCTTTGGCTGTACTGCTGGTCATAGCATAGTGTTTGAGACTGGTCTCCGCCTTGTGTCCGGAGACACTCATGATTTCTCTTTCTCTGAACCCAGCATTTTGTAGGGTACTGATGCTGGTTGCCCTTAGGCAATGGTGGGTGTAAGCCTTGGTACCTGCACGAGATGATATTGTTTTCATTTTGTCTCCGATGCTGTTGTTTCCCAAGGGATGCATTACAGTACCATTGATCAGAAGAAGATGGATTGGATTTGAACTCACGCTTGGCCTGTGCATTTGCCGGTCTCTGCCAAAAACTCTTACATCGTGGATCCAATTTATCTTTGTAGCGTAAGAATGAGGCAACAGGACATCGTGGACCATTAGTTGGAATCATGACACCACCTTGGCTCTTCTCTAGTTTATCTGCACGGTTGTTTTTTGTGAGTGTATCTTTCAGAGTTATGGAGCATTTTCCCCCTTCATCACAAATGTCAAAGCTGTCAAGTGTCATTTCACGCAAATTCTCTCTACCCCGATTGCAAAAGTACAACATTACGTCCATAAATACCTTGTCCTGAAGACCCACAGGATCATCCAAATCAAGCGAACCTTGGATTTTGTCCATGTCTTCTGCTGAGATAGCTGGTTTGTGAGTTACAACTCCCTTTCCTTCCTGTTTAAGCATTGCTGAAAAACACTTAAAAACTCTCGTCGAGTTGGAAAAATCTTCATGCTTGATGATATCTATCTTATTACAGTTGAGGAAATAACGCTGAAGTCCGAATCTAATAGCTAACATTGACTTCTTCATGTAATAACTTCCGTTCTTCCGTCTGGCACCAGCGTAAAACTTTTGCAGTACATTGTCCAGCTCCGAATTTGAAAGCTTGTTTACGCTATCGAGGTCTGTGCTGATAACTTGCAGGAAGTCTTCGAATATTTTCATGGAGCATTTAACGGAATTTTTCGTGTTCTTGCTGTCAGCAGAATCAATCAAGTCTCTCATTTGATCATCATCAAGAAGCTGAAATCTTGGGAGCGTTTCTAATTCCGCCATTTTGGCCTAGTACAGTCGGTCGTCTGCGTTGGCAGCTACTAGGGAGTCGGGCTAACTCGCCCCACGGGACATCTCGCCCCAGCGAGATATCCCGACATGATTTATCGATCGAGAGATACCAGTAGTCTGCTAATTAACGGCCAGGACGAAAGAATGTGAACAAATATCAGCCATATCGTCTAAAATGTACAATGAGCACAAACATATACACATTGGTATCTCTCGATCGATGAATCGTGTCGGGACATTTTGACCCAGTCTTTGATGCTGGGGCGAGATGTCCCGTGGGGTGAGTTACAAAATTGGTAAAATATAGCGACCAATTCTTCGCACACGTACGGTATCCTGGATCGCTCAAACCATTTTTTAACATGTAAACCTATGGGGTAACCATGGAGACTAAACTATTTTCCCGGTAACCATGGTTATTGGGATTTTAGAACTGTTTTAACCATGGTTACCGGGAATTTTACAGGAACAGTTAAAGTTTATGAATGCAATTTCGACCAATCAGATGGCTGGATTTCTTAAGTGAGGTATATAAATATATATATTGATATATATATGACATAAATGTACATCAAAAAGTAAAAAGATATGTGATGATCAACAAAAGTCAACATGAATTAATTTAGTAACTTTTAATATTAATAGATAGCAGTTTATTCAGTATGCCCCCTAGGCTCTGCCATTTGTTTGTATTACTGAATGCTTCACACACATTTTGCAATATATGTCTGTTGATGTTGTTGCTGTTTTTGAGGTTGCTTTTGTTGCAGCTGTTATTGTTGTGGTAGTTGGTGGTGTAGTCGTGTTGTCATTCATGTTGTAACAGTTGTTGTTGTTGTTGTTGTTATTTTTTATTACATGGCGAGGGAAGGCACACGTGCCTGCCTATTCCTTTGCCATGAAAGTTTTACAAAACCAGAGCCTCCAACAACATAACTGATGCAATCCCCTGTTTTGGCCCTGTAACACTGGATGAAGACAGAACGACTGAGAATAATTCTGCATCTAAAGAAAGTGAATGCATACAGGTATCTCACAGATGTACATTAGAGTAAAGCAATGTCGCGCAGTTTGCTCACCATAGGTTGCGTTGGTAATGAGCGTACTGGGATAGCCTGTATTTTCAACAGTAAGAATGCACTGGTATCCCCCATCTGCCAGTGGATACACACTATCAACATCAAAGACAACAGCTCGTTCTGACCCTGAGACAATGCTAGATCTCCTGGTGATTCCTGTCTTGTCATTGGTGTCTTCAGTACGTCTGTACAGATCAACTGAGGATGCATCGGGAAGTGGGATACCCTCAACATAACATGTGAAGCTAGATGGTTGGTATGGGTTCACTCTCACTGGAACCAATCTGGATATTCCTGTCAAGAACCAAGATGAGAAAATAAGAAAGAAGAAACTTAAATAATACACACAATTTGAAACACAGAATCTGTTTGCTTTATGTAATAATAACTAACAATACATACAGTGTATGGGGAACAAATCCTACATGCACTTTATAGGACATTGACCAATCCTGATATTCATAAATAAAGAATGGATTCGTTTGTATTAGAAAGAATGAACAATTACTTATAATATTGATATTCCTGTCAAAACAAAGCAAAAATACAAAACATTAAATACAAATGTACATGTCTGCAGCAATAGAAGATTGCAACTCGACCAGTCACTTCATTGTATCAGTATTTAGATCCAGAACTATATAGGCAAGATCTTAAAAAAAACTACCACAAATACACATGTTCATGTACATGCAGATTTACCTAAACAAGAGAAGATATCAATCTGATTATTGATTACAATATCTTAGTTGATGCAAAGTATCAGACTGGTGTACGTAATTTGATTAAACAAGTTAAATTGGAATACATACAATTGTCACCACGAGACAAATGGGAAATATGTAAAGTTAAGATAAAAGAATTTACGATGTCATACTGTAAACAAAAATATGATGTTCAAAAAGAAGCTTTTAATAAACTTAAAAAGGAATATGATACCTTGAGTAAACAGTTAGATAGGGATCCAAATGAAGATGTTATTAGTAAGATGAAGGAAGCACAGAAGAAAATAGATAAATATTATACACATAAATGTTAAGGGGCGTTTGTAAGATCGCGGTCAAAATGGATTGAAAAGGGTGAGAAGGCAAGCAAATATTTTTTACAGTTGGAAAAGCGCAATGGGCAGAAGAAAAAAAATAGAAAGTTTACATGTGAATGGAAAAACT